CTGAGTCAACCCTGAGCCGGTGAGATTTGAACCGCTGACCTGCTGATCTAGCAGTAGCCTGCAGTGCTGCATTTAACCACTGCGCCACCTTAGTTTTCCCTTATAATCCTTCCTTCCTTCTTTCCTTTCCTTCCTGTTTTCCTTTCTTCCTTCCTCCTTCCCTCCCTCCCACAGATGAAAGAGTGAAACAGTAGACCTTTTGTCCTTCCTTCTGATAAAATTACCAAGTTCTGCCAACTTCTTTTCCTATTGATGTGACAGGAAAAAAAATGATAAAATGGTAGTGCATTACTTCTTCTTTTTTTTACTGATCCATCAGTGGATGCATCGTATGGAAGGAGTTAAATATGAGTGGGATTGATACATAAGATCAGGGTTAGGGTTAGTTTTAGAGTCTATAGCAGTGATAAAATTCAAAATTTTCTCTACCGTTTTTGTGGGCATGGCATGGTAGGCATGTCTTGATGGATGTGGCTTGGTGGTCATGGCTTGGTGGTCATGTGACCAGGTGGGCATGGCTGCACAACTGGCTCACGCACAACATAAAAGCTGCTGGACTTCCCAAAAATGGCCCCTGAAACAAGCAGGAACCTTACAGACAATCAGGCACAGCTGATTATCGCACAGCTGATTTTTTAACCTTTTAAAGCATTTTTTACTACCAGTTTCGGCAAATAGGTAGTAAAAAAATAATTTAAAAAAGTAAAAAAAAGTTCTGACAGCACAGCTGATTGTCGCACAGCTGATCATTGGAACTTTAAAAAAAACTTTTTTAGCATTATTTTACTACTAGTTTGAGCGAATAGGTAGTAAAAATGCTTTTAAAAAGTAAAAAAAAATGTTCCCACAATTGCACAGCACAGAAGATCGTTGCAACTTGTTTTTACTTTTTAAACCATTTTTTTTTTACTACTGGATCAGGTGAACAATAGCATTTTTTACTACCAGTTTGGGCAAACTGGCCCGAATCGGTAGCATTTCACCCCTGGTCCATAGAAACTACATGTCTTCAAAGAGCCAGGCATGGAAAAGAAAGAAATTTCTGCTTATTTCCCAGAATAGATGGAAGGGCTAAAGGGGAAGGGGGATTCATAAATCAGGAATTGTGGTAAATACATTTTGGATGTACTGTAATATTAATACATCACCATGACTAAAGCAAAGGGAGAAGCTAAAACATAGAAAGAGTTTTCTTAAACTGATTGTATTTCCATCAGTTTATACCAAGGAGTCATGCCATTTTACATACAGAAGACCAATTAAGAATGCAGTATAAACAAACACTACTATTCCTGTAGTGGCTACTTCAGGCTTTATCAATAGAGTCAGCAATTGGGGAAGAAGTTCATTATTTGTCCTACTATCATCCCTAGTCAATATATTATTTAGACTATTGAAGTCCTATATAAGCCTGAAAAATTATATCCTGTGGAAATAGTAGGATGAATGAAAATGTAATTAACAGTGATGCATGCTTTCTATCATATCTAAAACTAAAAACAATATTGCTATTGAATCAGTTATTATTCAAAAGAAAAGCAGAAAATGTATACAATGTAAAAAGGGCACATTTATCTGGTATAAGTAGAATTGTTATATGTCCTTTATTATACAGGCAATCTTTTATTTCAGAAAGCTAGCCTTTAGATTTGTTTAATTTAATTATTTATTTTCTTGGTTTTGCTCATTAATTTTTGTAAAGCAAACTTATTAAAAACCATTTTTTTACCTTATGGACTTTTTTTGGAGTTTGTCTTTTATTTTTTCCAAGAAAATATGGTAATTGTAGGTATACGTTATTAATTCTTAGGCCTTCAATTGTTGAGATGTACTTTCACAGCAGACTCCCTCCCCCCTCACCCCCCCAGAAAACTTGTGATATTTTAATTTAATATCGGAAGATGAATTTCTAAGACTTTTCTCACTCTTTCTGGTGAGACAACAACAATTTGAAGGGAGACATCCTCTGCATTTGCAATAGGAAAGATAGGTAATCAGATAGCAAAGTCATTGGCAATTGAAACTTGAGGGTTATACCTGAGAGATCTATGCTGCGGCTGGCTTCAAACTGGGCCTTCTTATTTTGGTATTGTTTAGTGATTAGATACAGGCTTTTATCAAGAGCATCCATATCTATGGACAAGGAAGAGACTTCATCCACAAGAAATATTTCAGAGCTTAAACCTTCAATGGTCTGCCTGGAATTAATACAAGAAATATAATATTTATATACACATTTTTCTGTATTATTACCTCTCCCCTCTAATTGCTTCCCTCAAATATTAGGACAATCTAGTCACAGCAAAGGCAGCAATATCTTTCTGAAAGGCATGTAAAATAACGTTTATGAGGGGAGGGCATCATGTAACATCTTTATCTCTCTGCTCTGGGGGCCTAAGGAAAGGTAGAGTGATAGACCACTCTGATAGCCTAGAATAACATGAACAGATAAAAGAAATCATTTTGTCGTACAATCTGTAGCTGGAACTCATTCCCACAAGCTATAGTAACAGTCATCAATTCAGATAGCAGGAGTAGATAAATCCAGAAAGGATATGACTATCATTGTTTATCAATCATAATAGCTACTATATATTATCTCCAAAACCAAAGGCAGTTGCTAAGCAACATGAGGAGGGACCTATCACACAGTCATGGAGTTCTTGATTGGTCTGACAGATTAGAGAGACCTATCTTGCATTAAAGTTGGGGAAAGATGTAAACATAGGAAACAACAAAAATGCTGTTCAAAAGCTTTTGCATGTAAATACACAAAGGCTAAAGTTGGCAGAAAATAAAGAAGCATTTTGTTCAGAATTATGCTCATTTAGAGAGCACTTAAGAAGTTCATTTATAAGCAGTGTTTTACAGTTCATAAACTCTGAAACAAATGAGTGTTATGTGATTTGTATTTTCATTTTTCATCGGAGGACCACAACACAATTTCCCTAACCATAACAAAGACAGTGCTTGTGAATTTGGGTTTGAATGGAATCAAGTAAACTCCTTTTAACAACCAAATGTTGAAACATTATTGTATGTANTATATATATATATATATATATATATATATTAACATAGCTTTAAAACTTTAAAACACTTTAAGATTACAGGTAGTCCTTGATTTATGAACATTACAAGGTGATTTTTATGTGAGTTACACATGATTTTATGATCTTCTTTACTTTTTTAAGAAAATTAATATGCTATTAAGTGAAACATGGTTGTTAAGCAAATCTACTTAACATTAGCTTTGCTTGTTGAAAGCATGCTGGGGAAGGTCACAAATGACAATCTCATCACCCAGGACACTGCAACCATTATAAAGATATGCTGGTTGCCAGGTACCTGAACTTTGATTATGTGATTGTGGAGGTGTTGCAATGGTTGTCAAGTGTGAAGACCTATTTTAAGTCACTTTTCTTGATATTGTTGTAGCTTTGAATAGTTGGTAAATAAACAGTTATACTTCAAGGGCTACTTGTGCTCCTTTTCACAAGGACAAACAAAATATTTCAACATTTCTAGGTCGATGATTATTTCAATTGAAAAGTCACATAAATAGGGCTAGAGTTTAAAATATTTTTTTTGCAAGTTGCATGTCCTGATAATCATTCACAAGCCTCAGGGGGGGGAAAGTAACAACAATAAATACACACACCCAAAATGAAAATACTCAAACATTATTTTAATCAGGCCTATTAAAGAAGATCACCTTTTGAAATAAATATTCCATCCCTTCCCTTTTGATTTCTCCATTCTTAATACATACCATTTGTTCAGTCTCCTGGAGCTGACTGTTAAAATTGCGGAATTCCTGGGCGGTTTTCCTGGCAGTTTGGATGGAACCGCCGGAAAGTGCAAGGATTCCTCTGCAGCTCATACCTGGACCACATTCATTTGCATTTTGATGGGAACACAGATACCCAATACATTCACCAGGAGTGCAAACTTCTGATCTCACAACACTGCAAACCTAGCAGCAAAAGTCACACGATCAATGAAGATTTGTCAATTACAGTATAAATATTTCTAATACGATTCAATGAACTTATTTTATTTGTTTCTTTATATGTAATGTTTCTAACTTGCCACTTATTAGTTGCCTCCAAATTCAACCCTCCCGCCTTTAGGTAAAACTATACCTAAAAGCAGATCTGAATTCAAAAACATAAGATCCCAATTGGATCAGTCAACAGACTTATGCAACTCTGAAACAAGAAATGATGTATGATCACTATGACTTTTTGCTAATAGGTAAATTTGTCCAATATCTTTTTAAAGTTACTCTCATTAGCAGCTATCATATAAAGAAGCACTGAAATTAAATAATTCCTATTTATTGGATCTATGTGGAAAGTTTGATTTCACCTGGAAATTTCATACATTTCAACATACACATAGAGTTCAATAATCCAAAATAAATATGGCTAGAATCAGTGAAGATATGCTCAGAACCTATTTGGTGTAATGATTAAGGCATCAGGCAAGAAACTGGGAGACTGTGGGTTGTAGTGTCATTTTAGACCCAACCCCAGCTGGGTAACTTTTGACTAGTCACTTTCTGTCAGCTGTAGAAAGGAACCAATGGCAAACCACTTTTCAAAAATCTTGCCAAGAAAACTGCAGAGACTGGAGAAACTTCTCCAGATGTTCAACAGGAGTCAAAACATGGCTTGAAGGCACAAATATTTATGCTCAGGTACCTGCCAAGGTCATGGCAACCAAGAGGTTCAATTCTAGCCTAAATATGCTTCAGAATCCATTCAGAATCAAGTTGTTTCTGAGGACTACATATGTGACTTACATTTCATCCTCTCCAGCAGAATCATAACAAGGGTCAGGGGGAACAAATAAAATTCCTTACTACTGCTGTCTATTGAAGGAGTGTGACTATGCTGCAGATAAAATGTAGTCTTCCAGAACCATATTACTAAATGGCTTGAATGTTCTGCAAAATGTATACAGAATCTAAGTAATGCTTTTTCTCCACAGATTTCCAGTGCAGAACAAATTCAAAGCAGCAAGGACGTGTCTTAGAAAAGATATTTGAGTGTTGGTGGCTGGATGATATTAACATCAACATGTTATTCTGATTCTTCATTCATAACTAGTATTCATGATGCAAGTTTGATATGTCTTAAAGGACAATGTAGCATTGGACTTCTTTCCATATACATTCATATTCCTGTAATTACAACACATCTGTATTGGGGTTTGTGTGTGAGATGGGAAAAGAAGGAGGAAGGGAGGGAGGGAGAGGGAGGGAGGGAGAGAGAGAAAGATATAGATGGAATCTGTAAATCTAAAACTGGTTTCCACTGTTAATATCCCTTATTTATTATGATACTTTGGATTTTCTTTTCTCCCAGCTTCAGCGGTCCTTGGAGGAAGCCAGTTACCTTGACCCATTCCAGTCCGGCTTCAGGCCTGGTTACAGCACAGAAACCGCTTTGGTCGCATTGACCGATGATCTCTGGAGAGCCAGGGATGGACGCCATGCCTCCATCTTAGTTCTCCTTGACCTCTCGGCGGCTTTCGATACCATCGACCATGGTATCCTTCTGCGACGACTGCGGGAGGTGGGGTGGGAGGCACTGTTTTGCAGTGGTTCTCCTCCTACCTCTCGGACAGGTCGCAGTCGGTGTTGGT